AAACTATCAAACGATATGTTCTTTGAAAAGAGGAAGAGTGTGGATCAAGAGGATGTGCACCTTGGAGCTGGCAGGGCTCAGACAGGCATCCTTCATCATGTTACTGCATGCAAAGCAACTCGTCTGGTGATCGGAGAGAACTGCACACATTAACAGCCTTACATAGCAAGACGTTTCGTTATCATTTACAAGTTACTCTTCCTATGTAAGGCTTCTTTCTCAGTTTTATTACATTTTAGTTAGACTTAAAATTGAATGGAGAGGCCAGCATGTGGTGTGGCAGGTAAGGCGCTGAATCCCACATAGCTGAATAAAGTGATTCAAGTGTCTCAGACCCGGCAGTTTGAAAAATCACACCTGTGCATGCATGCCCAAAATCCTGAGGGAAAATGAAGAAGGGACTGTGGCACGACCACCCACTGGGGGTGATTTCTTACTTTCCCTCTCTCTGTCACACTCTGTCTCTGACAACTGCACATGCCCTATGGCAAAAACTTTAAAACATTTTTAAATTAAAAACTGGATAGAAGTACCAGCTGAGGGCTGGCAGGTGGCATGGTGGTTCAGGGCACTGGACTCCGTGGCTCTGCCCCTCTCTGGTCAAATTAAAATAAGTAAATAAATAAATAAAGTTAAATAAAATAATTCTTTTAAAAAAAGTTGAAATACTACTCACCTATTAAAAATAAAAAACATTACTTTTTTTAAAGAATTTTTTAATTTAACTTTATTTTTTAAATTTATTTGTTTTAATTTGACTAGAGAGAGATGGAGTGTGTGGGGGAGGGGGAGTGAGAAAGCAAGCCACCAGGTCTGGGACTCGAACCACAGTTGGCCATGTGGGAGTCCAGTACCATTAACTACCACACTGCATGCTGGTCCCACCTCTCTCTCTCTCTCTCTCTCTCTCTCTCTCTCTCTCTCGGAGTTTTGCCATAGGGCACATTCACCTGCCAGAGGGAGAGAGAAAGAGAGAGAGAGGAGAGAAATCACCCCCTAGAGGGATGGCCACACCACAATCCATTCTCCTCTTGGGATTTTGGGCACGTACACAAACACACCCAGAACGTTTTTCAAGTCACTCGAACTGCTCATAGTTGGCCATGTGGGATCCAGTCACTTTAACTACCACACCACCAGTGAACTCAAAAAATAACATTTTTAATAAATGTTTTCTGAATAGACTGGAACTTGTAATCCCTATGTGTAGGGGGAGGGATAAGAAAGACTAACCACTTAAAATAACAAAAAAAAAAAAAAAAGAAGAATCAAATTACCATCACCAGTTATGGAACAATGGCTCCTGACAATGTGTACTGAGAATATATGTGGCCAAAATCCCAAGAGGAGAATGGACTGTGGCATGGCCATTCCTCCAGGGCGATTTCTCACTTTCCCTCTCTCTGTCTCTGGTGAGTGCACATGCCCTACAGCAAAAACCTTTTTTTTTTTTTTTTTAAATAAAAAAGTGGGGGAGGGACAACATTTGGATAAGGTCTGTAGATGAGGTAAGATTACTGTACCAATATTAATTTGATCACTATATTATGACTATGTAAAAGAATGTCCTTAGGTCTTTGGTAAATACAGAAGTCTCAAAATGTTTTAGAAGAAAATATGTATAGAGAGAAAAAGGAAACAAAGAAATGTAGTATAAGGTTAGCATTTACAAAATCTGGGTGAAATATGTTAATAAATTTATAGTATAACTTTTCTAGAAGTGTGAAATACTTCAAAAACAAGTTAAATATGTAAGGAAAATAAAGACTTGTATAGCATATTCACATAGAACATCTATTTATCAAAAACAGAATAAGCAGAAATCTCTTTATATGTATGTTATGGTGCCTTTTAAAGCATATTCAGTTTTGGCTAATAAGTTACCTTATTACAATCCAGCATGCTTCCTGCCATAAATCAGGAGTGATTTCATCATCATCCTCATCATATTGCATATCTGCAAAGACAAAAATATTGTATTCATTTGCAATAAGAGGCCAAAAGTTAACATCTTGCTCCTGTGACCTGAAGTAAAAGAAACATATTTATTCTCTGCTAAATAAAAAGCAATCCTTGTATCCCACTTGGCTAATATTTCAGCCAATTTTGTAAATAAAATGATAGATGTCTAGGGACCAGCAGGTGGCATGGTGGTTAAGGCGCTGGACACTCCCACATGGCTGACCACGGTTTGAGTCCCGGATCTGGTAGCTTGCTTTCTCACGTACCCTCTTTCTCTCTCTGTCTCTCTCTGTCAAATTAAGAATAAATGAATGAATAAATAATTTTTTTTTTTTTGGAGAGATTTTCACTGTAGGGCGCGTGCGCTCGCCAGACAGACAGAGAGAGACATAGAGACAGAAAGCGAGAAATCACCCCCCAGGGGGGATGGTCACGCCGCAATCCCTTCTCCTCCATTCTCCTCTCGGGATCTTGGGCACGCACGCACACGCGCCCGGCGTGAGTTTTAAGCCACCGGGTCCGGGACACGAACCGCGGTCGACTACGTGGGAGTCCAGTGACATAGCCATTACGCTAACTGCTGGTTCCCAATAAATAATTTTTTAAAAAAATGATAGATGTCTATGACACACAGCTATCCTGCCAATTTAAAAAGACGTATTAAGGACCAGCAGTTGGCGTAGTGGCTATGTTGTGATGGACTCTGTAGTCCACTGCAGTTCGAGTCGCAGTCCTGGTGGCTTAAACTCATGCTGGGCACGTGTGTGCGTGTCCAAGATCCTGAGAGGAGAATGGAGAAGAGATTGCAGCATAGCCATCCCCCTGGTGGTGATTTCTCGCTTTCTTTCTGTCTCTTTCTGGCAAGCGCATGTACCCTATAGCAAAAACTTCTGCCCCCCTCCATAAAAAAGATAAAAAGACATAATATTACAAAGGTACAGCGAAAGTTGTGTGAATTTGTAAGTTTCCATCTTCTCCAGAAAATCCATGGGATTCTCATTCGTACCTACCCATAACAATAACTAGCAACAAGCTCATTCTCCTCTGATCAATACGTTCCTCAAACTGGACACACGGAGCAGGAAAGGGAGTGGGGCAGGGAAAGGTTCCAATAGCTGAGCAATACCCTAAGGTGGGATGGTCTATTACTACAACATCCCATGCATGAAGGCGTGTAACAGACTGTATTTTCCAAAGATGGAAACAACTTTATCTCCCATCCTACAGGTTCTTCTAGAGATCTTACACTCTTACCATCAAGAAATAGTGGTCTACGCATCCTCTCCTTGAATCTAGGTGGATTTTCAACTCTGCTATAACTAAGAGAATGCAGCCTAAGTGATGGTGCGTGACCTCACAAGCTAGGTCACCGAAGTTTCCATCCTGTTTGCAAAATACCTGCGTCTGAAACACTGAGCTGCCATTAAAGTCCGACGACCTGGCCACGCTGTAGTGGGTGCTTTCTCCCTTTCCCTCCCTCTCTCTGTAATGTTTTCCTTTCCGCTTATATATGATGCTATGGTTACCTTTAGTGATTTAAAATACATAGGAGGAACCAGCCCAGTGGCACAGTGGTTATGGTGGTTGGATCCCATGTGACCAACCGAGCAGTTCAATCCAGCAGCTTGGAAAAGAACCCAAGCATGAATGTGCACATGTGGGCCCAGAATCCTAAGAGGTGAATGGAGAAGGGATTATGGTGGCCATCCTCCATGGGGGGAGGGGTGATTTTTTTACTCACTCTCTTTCTCTCTCTCCCCAGCAATACTACATGCCCTACAGCAAAACTTAAAAAAAAAGGGGGGGGTTGTGTACATAATTCATGCACATACTACACCATTTTATGTAAGGGACTTGAGTATCCTGGGATTTGGACATCCAGGAGGGGTCCTGAAACCGATTCCCGGAAGATTAAGGAGATGACTGCAGTTGTCCCCCCAATCCAACCATAGCGGTTTAGCTTTCCATGGCTACCAGGGTCAATTGCTGTCAGATAATAGGTGAATACAAACAATAAAATATTTTGAGAGCAACCACACTCATAACTTTTATCACTGTTCATTGTTATAACTGTTTTATTTTATTGTTGTTAGTCTCTTACTATACCTCATTTATAAATCAAATTTATCATATGTACGTATGTATAGGGAAAAATATATATATAGGGTTCTGTACTATCCAGGGTTCATTCATTGGGAGTGTTGGAACACACATTCCTGGGGGACAGGAGGGTATGGCTGTTGGGTAGAATACATAACATATGAGAACCGTGTCATCTTGTAGGAAAAGGAAGTTTAAAGGCCATGTTAAAGAAAATTTACTTAGACTTAAGAAAAACCTAAAGGAATGTCAATGGAGACTAAGCTCCCCTCCCAATATTCTGTCTCCGGCGTATTTCCAGAGACAACCACAATGCCTGGCACACGTTTGATTCTCGGAAATTGAGCTAATCAGTAAATCGATGAACTGTAGCCTTAAGGAAAATCAAAAAGAGGGCCTTTTAAAGTCATAAACGGTTGAATGTGTCTCCTGGTTCTGCACGCTATTTAAATATGGGAGGACGGTATCGGATTTAACCCGAAACATCGGAGAAGAACAAGTCAACCAGGCCGAGCACATAAAAGCAAGGTTCTCTGCACCCTCCACCTCTAGCAATCCCAGCTCCGGTCCCGGCCCGCGGGAGGTGGGAGCCACGACTATGGACTCGTGCGGCGGCAGGCGGGAGAAAAGGCCGCAGAGCCTCAAGCCGTCCAGCTTCCCAGCTTCTCTGCTAAAACGGATCGCCGCGGAGTGTGTTTCGAGAGGTCACCTACCCTCGTCCGCGTCATACATATTGGCAAACGGTTCTCGAGTTCCGAACTCTTGAAATCAGAGACAAGAGAGGCGAGCAGCTCCCGCCGGCACCTAGAACCACAGACCGACTGATTTCCGTCTCCGGCGTTCCCAGAATGCTTCGCGTCTCACATCAAAGGCCACGCTGCCGCCAACGTAAGATCCGCGCCTGCGCGACTCGCCGGGTGCGGGAGGGCTGGTGTTAAAGAGTTGCGCGTGCGCACACTGTGAGCCGGCGGCTGAAAGGACAGCTCCTGCTATCTGGGAGTCGGATCCAGCTACCGAAAAGTTTTTTTGGTCTATTTCTAAATGTTGTTACACAAATAATGATACCTAAAAGAAAAAAAGGGCCAAGTATATTTTTTAAATAAAAGAGTTTGTGAAAATAAAAAGTTTTAGTTGTGGCCGAAAGCCTGCAGCAACCGATACTTTATTTTTTGTACTTCTAAAAACCAAAAAAACAGCAAAGCTTCTAAAGATGTGACTTATTAAGGGTAGCCTGTGCCAACGGTGCTGCATTGAAGCGTTGAGAAAGAACAAACTCAAAACCCTCAGCACCAGCTACCGCCCACCTAGCACAGCCTAAGTGCTTGGTTTCCGCCGCAGCTTCAAGTGGGTTCTCCCGTTTCTGCGCTCCCATCGCGAGAACTCACGGGATTAGACGCGAGAAGAGCGGGACAGCTCCCAGGAACTCGCGTCCCAGCTTTCGTCTGGAGGTTAACGTGCATGTAAGCCCCCACTGCGCGTGCGCACACGTGGCTCCGCCCAGGTGCCGGGCCGGTTTTCTCCATGCTGCCCGCACGCCTATCCCGTAGGTTGCTCCGTCCTTTCCTTCGGAGATCGGCTCCCACCGTAGAGCGCTATGGCCTCCGGGAGCCGGTCCTGGGGAAGAGATGCGCGGCTTCCTCCTCCTTCCAACGCCGTTCGGGCCTGGGCCGTGAGCTTCCTTATGGCCCCACGCCGACTGCGGGATACGGAGGAAGTCCTGACTTGGAGGAGCGTTTTCTGTTCCCGGAGTATGTTCCGGAGCCGGAGCCTCCGCCGACTCCCGAGGAGCAGCTGCGGGAGCTGCAGCAGCGGCCGGGG